CCCACATCCCACATCCCACATCCCACATCCCACATCCCACATCCCACACCTACGTTACACATACCAAGAACAACTCTTCAATAAGGAAGGTAAGTAATCAGAGAATGGTTGTATAAGAGTATATACGTTGTGGTCAAAGTTAAAATTCAGTCAAATTTAAAATTTGACTGACTTTTTGCCTAGGCAAATTTTAAATTTGCTCACAGAATCGGTTAAATTTTAAATTTAACTGAATTTTAATTTTGACTACAACATATATATATATATACTACGAGGAAAATCATTAGATTTATCTCCAAATTTTTCTCAGTAAAAGAAAGAGATCTTATGTTTTCAAACGAAAAGTATATTAATTGTCACATAAAATCTTAAAGATTTTAATTGCTTCACGATTAATGCAAACTCGTAACATATATTGTATTTTTTTTATTCATTTATTAATTTTATTTTTAGTCGTTGAAAATTTATTTTCGACTAAATCATCAGTCAAATTTCATACTTCTATCTAAATTAATTCAAAAAAAAGAAATTTAATTTTAATAGCTCCTTATTGTTTGCTTTTTTTCGACAAGATGGAATAAACTTAATAGTTAATATTTTTTTATTGATTTAAAATAATTATAGCATTATTGTCAATGACATTAGTTGTGCATTAAAAACCCATTATACTGAAATGTTACATTTTTTTCCTTAAAAAAGAATCTGTTTTGGGTGCGGGTGGTTGGTGTGTGGGCTTGGGTGTGTTGTGGGGGTGGGTTGGTGTGGGTTTGAGCATGACAAAATAGAAGATGCACATCCACAGTCACAGTCACAGCTACAGCTACACCCTCAAAAACACTCTTGACAATGCAAACTTAATTAACTGCATTCGAAGAAACTATGATTAATGTGTTTTTAGATGTTTCAGACATAGTGAGAGATTGGCAATGAAACAATTAAAAGCGTGGTGTGGCATTGAATTTCATGTATGCGTCTTCGTTATGGTTGAACTCGTGATTCCTCCAGGTTTTAGTAAACAAATAAACATCTTGCTTTGTTTCCTCAAGAGAATAAACTTCAGCAACAACTGCTTTCTATTGAATACTTAGCAAAACAATGAATGGAATCGTATTGGAATTGATGAAGCTTTTAAGATATTTTCATTTCATTATTGCCATCCAAGACATTAACTTCACTGCTCTGAATTGAAAAATGAACAAGTAAATATCTAGTTTGGAACTCTTACAGATCGTTTCTGCAGCAAATCATTTCTTGACTACGAAATGTTATTTCGCCATAAATTTGTACAACTTTAATGGATCTTCTTACTTTTATAACTCAGCCCTCATTCTATTTCATTTCTTGGTACTTGCACTTTACTGGAATTACCACTTATAAAGCACTTCAGCTGCTTGAAATATGAATTTTCATCGATATACATCGCTAGAAAAAACTTCAAGTTAACTACTTAAATCCTCAATTTTTGGGCTTTTTATTGAGATAGAATCTGGCAAATAATTTATGAAGATTCAAGAGTTCAACATTTTCCTAATTAGCTTGTTTTGAAATTCAAGAAGCTCTTCCCTGTACAACAAATCTTGAATAGGGAAGATCTGAATGTAGTGTATGTGCAATGACTCCCATGGTAAGTATTGATTTTATTGCATACAGTTTAAAAGAAGTATTAATTTATTGATATAACGACCTTTCAAAAATGTTTCAAATAGTCTGTTCTATACATTTCTCAACGTTAAAAAAAACTCTAAATTGAGCATCCCGTTGAAAAAAACTCAAACATGACATGTACCTGATGGATATAGAACGATAAAGAAAAGTATATGAAAACTATAATTAATTATTTGTGGTCAGAATTCAATTCTTACTTGAATTCGTACTACTATGTTATAACATTAACAGAAAATTTACCTCCTGATTATGACTGTTTCATATGATGTACTATGGATAAAATACAGAAAAATCACATTTTGTAAGGTTTGTAGTATTGATTAATTCATCAAAAATTAATCTGTCTAAACTCATATGATTATAACAGCTACTTGAATCTAATTGAATTGGTTTTATGTCTATTGTTCGATGTTCTCCTGTTAGAAATAGATGCTCAAATATGTATTGATTACTAATATGATCACATATATCACTCCTCTTTCAGAGTAATTTGTCTGTGTTTGATATCTCCCATAAAAACAATATTCCAAGTGATACAAAATATTGCAAAAGTAAACTTACTTCCACTGTAGGTCATGTTCTTAAGAGATTTTCGAACTATTACTTTCATATAAGTACAGCTATTTGATTTATAAATAGATTCAGAAGGATTTATGCTTCATTAAATATGAATAGCACAAAATAAATCATTAAATACTCGTCTCTATAATATAAACAAAAACAACTAGTTAAATTAGTGTTTATCGATTGAACAATCTATGTGAGAGTCGAATGGACATTGTTGCTGATGCCTAGGAAAGGGACAATAGTACTTAGTTCCAACGTGAAAGCTCATAGATCGTTCATAATAGATATACATCACTAACAACGTTATTAATGACTCTGTTCCTTCGTACAACAAATAGCAATAGCAAGAGTATTTATTTTATTGATGGAAAAAAAAGAATTAAACTGTTCAGAAAAAAAAATTTATATTGAAGAATGAAAGACATAAAAGATAATATTGGCAGATCTAAAAACAACAATGAAATAAAGTTAGATTATTGCTTCCTGTTTTTGAATGTTCATCAAAAGCGAGATTAAGATAATGAAACATCCTACAAATAAAAAAAAAATTATTCAATAACTTTTGTTCCTATAATCAAAAATACAAAATATTAAAGTATCAATCTATTAGATACTTTACCTTTGTATTATTCACTATAACAAAAAAGAAAGAAAACATCAACATAAGTAAAATTATCTTTTTGATTTAATTACTTTTTCAAAAATCGAAATGTCTTCACCGATGGAGTTTCTGTAAATTCACAAGTGCTTGTTGAATGACGAATATCCGCTATTATTGAATCTTGTTGAAGAGATTGTCTTGATTGATCATTATGATTCGTTGTTTCATCAACTATTTGGTTACAAATAAAATAAGAGTTCTTTTTCTTTAATGAAATAAATTATAAACATACTTGATTCTTCTGACTTGGAAGGACGTAATTCAGGTACTTTAATACGTTCACCACCTATCATTTTCATACCATCCATTAAACAATGAAGATATTCTAATACCTTATCTTGCTAAACATATATATATATATATCTTTTGATGTAAGATAAGAAATTATAAATAATATTACTTGATTACGAGTCATTGTTACTTGATCACGAATCATTTTCACTTGACTCTCGAGTATTTGCATTTTCTTGAACACTGAATCTTGTGGTGTGTGACTGAATACATAAAAAAAATCTTAGAAAACAAATCACTTTTGGAATCATGAACATACACTCGTTCTTCATCAAAATCATGTTCTTCATTGAATTTTCCAGCATTCCTCAAACAATTATAATAAACTTCATCACCAAGTACATCTTCAACTTTTTCGATTTTTTTAGCCAATTTTTCATCATTAGAACTAATTGCTATAACGAAAAAAGAAACTAATATGTAAATCAAAACGATAACAATCAATTTTCTTACCATATTGTGTTCGTTCTAGATGTGCAACATATATTTTTTTAATCCATGGTGATTTGCTATATTGTTTTAAAATTTTTAATATCAGTCGCCAAAGATGAGAAAGAAAAATAAATGGAGGTGGTATTGATGGTCGAGATAAATATTCACATATTAATGAATATCGTTGAAATTTCCATATTCGATCTGTATCATTTTGAAGACGATCGAAAGTATTACTAAGAAAAATAATTAGAAATTATATAATTTTTATCTATCATACGTCACGAGATAAATGAAGAAAAAAAGTTTTTCCCAAATTTCAGTCACTCTCTTCAAACAATTTTACACAAATATAAGTCATGACCATGGAAAAATCAGACTTTCAATGAAGAGATATTTGTCTATTTCAAATTCTATTTCATTCTTAACGAACATAGTTTCTATGTGATTCAAAGCAAAAACCAGCCGTTAGCTAACCGTTGGATCTTATAAGCACCAGGGCAGTGCGAGCAGACTTGTGGCATACACTTAAATGGATCTTTTAAACTCTTTCTAATGATGAAATAATAGAAGGAAATAAAAGAAAAAGTTTTATTAACAGAAACTTGTCTCTCATTTGATAGTACACTAAATTCTATGTGAAGATTTTGGTGATTACAATCTCGTTTAATACCTGAACATTGCAATAAGTAGATTAACCAAAAGTATACTAACAATAGCCATATATGCAACAAGTATAAGAAATACGGCATAACCAGTTGCATGAAAATTGTCTGAATGAAGAAGAATTTATCATTTCAAGAAAAAGAAAATATTTTTCTTTTTTGTTTGCTTACTTTCAAATTTACTTAACACATCAATTTCACCAAATATTTGCCAATAGGACAGATGTAGAATTTCACGTGGTAAATGCCAAGTAAATTCTTGTGTACCATAAATAAGACTATGAGATGATACACCAAATCCAAAAATGAACACAATCAACAAAACCATATAAAATTTCAAATCATTTATCTTAGAAAAATTTTCAAAAATAAAAACAAAAAAAAAAACAACTCTCAAACAATTTAAAAAATAAAAATTTCTTACCATTTCCTGAATCATAACAAGTTTAGGACCGAGTCGTTGAATAGCTGCAAATATCTCTAATGAACGTATATACCAAATTGATAAATCTATTGACCAAACGATACGTGCTGCACAAAAACATTCTGTTGCTGGCAGACATCGAAGTATAAACCCAACATAAAAAAGTATGATAGCTAGAACATCTAATTCGTTCCAAAAACCTTTGAAATAGTTTACTATGGCATTGCGAGTTGTTTGTGCTTCCAATGAACAGAGCTACAAACGAAATTATCATAGAAAAAAAAAGGTCAAAAAAAAAATGAGCTCCAGACGTGAACTCCAAATTTGAAGCTCACTTACGCATCCATATTTTACCAATCAAATCTAGTCCATGTTTTCTCGTTTACAGTAGTAAAAGTCCCCTGAACTGCAATCTTAGATAAAGCCAAGTGTGTGATGTTGCATAAATACATTACCTGAGATGCGATTAGCATTACCTGGGTTGCTAGTAGCATTACCTGGGATACTACTAACATCCCAGGTAATGCTTCTAGCAACCCAGGCGATGCTTCTAGCAATCCAGGTAGTTGGTAAACGAGCTTCAAGTTTAAAGCTGACCTACTTTGGAGCTCACTTTTTTGACTGATCTGTAAGTGAGCTCCAAATTTGGAGTTTAGGCACTTTGGGGCTCACTTTTTTGACCAAAAAAAACAAAAAAACAATAAGAATTCATATTTAAATTACTTGTCGCATTTCTTCACAAAGTAATGTTGTAACCCAAATCAAAAGTATATATTCTTGAATAGCTGGTTGATTACGTTTTTGCAAACCATATGGAATTGTTATATTAGTTGTAGGTTTACTATTTTTTATCGATGAACTTTTATCATCATCTTGTTTTTCAGAATCAATTGTTGGTCTGCATATATCGCTTTGAAATTCATACAGAGGAAAAACACCACATAATACAACATAAGAAAAAAGTAATAAGAAAGCCAGATGAAAATACTAGACAAAAAAATATCAGCAAGTTTTTTTTGAAATGTAACAAATAAAAATATTCGAATAAAATACATACTAAA